TTGCAGACTTGCTTTGTGGTGAGACCAGAGAGCGATGGACCCTCACCAGGTCCTGGACCCTGGGGGAGCCTCCTGTGATCACTGGCGCCTGCCTGTATTTCTTTCCTTAGGTGTTCTGGGCTGCGGGGCCCCCTTGGGCAGAGGCTGCATAGGTCACTCCCTTTCTGGACTGGCCCTCTGGAGGGAAGCATGCCTCACTCCCCCGCTGCCCAGGAGCCCACATGTCTTACCCCTCTCAGTGCTCTGAGAGTGGGGTCTCCTCCCCCGTTAAAGTGCCGGCCACAGATCTCCCCCTCAGTATCCCTAGCTTTGTGCCACAGTCCTGGGAACACCGGGAAGTCCTGTGGCTTGGGATTGGGTTCTCACTGTGCTGGGGAGTCCAATGTGCTCCTAGGTCCTGGGGAAGATATTCAGGTGGAGCAGTGCACTCAGGTTTGGCTGCGCAGGCTGCAGGGCGCACCTCCTCTTGCACAGTGATTTGGCCTGGGCCCTGGGAGGGGCCAGTGGGCAGGAGGACTTGCAGAACAGAGGCACCCAAGTCCTGCAAGGAAGCTGCCCCTGCTCTCTCCTGGCTCACTGGTCAGCTGCAGCCAGAGCCTCCTGCAAGGAGATAAGGGAGCCTTGGGGAATTGGTGTCTGTATTAGTTCATTCTCGCACTGCTATAAAGAAACACTCCAGACTGGGTAATTTCTAATGAACATAGATGTAATTGGCTCATTGTTCTGCAAGCTGTACAGGAAGTATGATGCTGGCACCTGCTTGGCTTCTTGGGAAACTTACACTCATGGTGGAAGGAGAAAGGGGAATCAGCACTCACATGGTGAGAGCAGGAAGACGGGAGAAAGATGCTGGGGGCAGGACTGCACACTTTTAACCATATCCCGCTACACGCTACCAAAGAGGGGTGCTGCTAAACCGCTCATAACAAGTTTGCCCCATGATCCAATCACCCCCACCAGACCCCGCCTCCAACACTGGGGATTACATTTCAACATAAGATTTGGACAGGGACACAGATCCAAACCATATACTTCCATTATATGGAATACTACCGCATAATGCATGATCTATTATCATTAACTCAAATAGATTAAAGACTGAAATGTAAGACCTAAAACTCCAAGAAAAAAAAAAACAAAACTGTTTATAACATTGGAATGAGCAATGACTTCTTGGATATGATGCCAAAGGCACAAGCAATCCAAGCAAAATTAGATGGGAGCACATCAAACTTAAAAACTTCTGTGTAGCAAAGGAGACCATCCACAGAGTGACAAGGCAACCTACAGAATGGGAGAAAATATTTGCAAGTCATATAACTGAGTTAATATCCAGAAACGTATAAAACAAGTCATATAACTCAACAATAAAAAATAACTTGATTAAAAAATCAGGGGGGGGTGCAGTGGCTCATGCCTGTAATCCCAACACTTTGGGAGGCCAAGTGGGGAGGATTGCCTGAGGCCAGGAGTTTGAGATTAGTCTGAACGACATATTGAGGCCTGTCTTTATCATTTTTTTAAAAAATTAGTTGGGTGTAGTGGTCCATGCCATAAGTGCAAGCTACATGGGAGGCTGAGCTGGGAGGTTCACTTGAGTGTAGGAGTTCAAGACTAGCCTGGGGAACATAGGGAGATCCTGTCTCTACCAAAAAAAAAAAAAAAAAAAAATTAGCTGGATGTGGCAGCACTTGCCTGGAGTCCTAGCTACTTGGGAGGCTGAGGTGGGAGGATTGCTTGAGCCCAGAGTTTGAGCCTGCAACGAGGCATGGTTGCAGTTTTCCAGAATGTCACAGAAATGGGACTATACCTTATGTGATATTTTCAGACTGGCTGCTGCTTCTGCTTCTCCTCCTTCCTTCTCTTTCCTTCTCCTTCCTTTTCCTTCTCCCTCTTCTTCCTTCTCCTTCTTCTTCATTCTCCTTCTCCTTTCTTCATCTTCTTCTGAGATGGAAAAAGAAAAGAAGCAGCAGCACTCTGTCGCTCAGGCTGGAGTGCAATGGTGTGATCTCGGCTCACTGCCACCTCTGCCTTCAGAGTTTGGTGATTCTCCTGCCTCAGCCTCCTGAGTAACTGTGATTACAGGCACCCACCACCATGCCCAGCTAATTTTTTTTTTTTTAATTTTTGTATTTTTTAGTAGAGACGGGGTTTTACCATGTTGGTCAGGCTAGTCTCCAACTCCTGACCTCAGGTGATTTACCCACCCCGGCCTCAAAGTGCTGGGTTAAAGGCGTGAGCCACCATACCCCGCCCAGACTGGCTTCTTTTACTTACCAATATGTATATCAGATTCATCTATGTCTTTGCATGGCTTTGTAGGCCACCCCTTTTTCTTGATGCATAGCATTCCATTGCATGGATGTACTTTTTTTTTCTTTTTTAATTGCATTTTAGGTTTTGAGGTACATGTGAAGAACATGCAAGATTGTTGCATAAATACACACCTGGCAGTATGACTTGCTGCCTTCCTCCCCATCACCTATATCTGGCATTTCTTTCCATGCTATCTCTCCCCAACTCCCCACCCACCGCTGTCCCTCCCCTATTTCCCCCCAACAGACCCCAGTGTGTGATGCACCCCTCACTGTGTCCATGTGTTCTCATTGTTCAACACCCGCCTATGAGTGAGAACATTCGATGTTTGATTTTTCGTTCTTGTGTCAGTTTGCTGAGAATGATGGTTTCCAGGTTCATCCATGTCCCTACAAAGGACATGAACTCATTGTTTTTGATGGCTGCATAATATTCCATGGTGTATATGTGCCACACTTTCCCTGTCCAGTCTATCATCGATGG